TTTTATATATATTTATTTTTTAAAAAGCAATTAGCCATCTTCCAGTGTGAAAATTTGCTCAGCATTTTACAAGACAACTTACTGGATGAATCTGAAGGATTTCACAGTAGATCCTGTACTTGCAAAAAGGTTCTTCATATCCTCAACAGTAATAGAAGGCCTATTTAAAATAAAAACCAAAACAAAACTGAAACAAAACCCCCTCAACTTGTAAAAGAATACAGGGTTCTGTAATAGTATCAAAATCTCAATTCTGACTTCTAAATTAAATTTGAACAGCAAAAGCTATCTCCAGCAACTCAAGGTGTGTCGACTTAACTCAAATATCTTGGCTTTGACACTAAGATTTAGCACCACAGTGTGCTACAAATACATTTGCTCTACTGCTTTTCATCCTACCCTGTTCCTCCCTTAAATTAAGATTGCATAAAAATCACTTCTTAACCAATACCTTGAGAAATTCCTTTCATCTCATAATTACTACAAGTATGCTTCACATATTTTCAATTCTGAAAGCTTTCTATTTTACTCAGAAAGCCATTTTCTGAGTGGTTTTGTTTTGGGGGGGTGGGTGCGTGTGTTTATTTTTTATTTTTAATTTGGACAAAATTCCGTAGTTTTCCCTCCCTGCACAGCTGCTAAACAAAAGACACTCTTAAAAACTTATGTTTTGCTCTCACTCCACACAACATTGACAACGTTCTAGAGAGGAAGAAAGGTTGGTCCAGTTTTAAAGAATATGCTTTTTAATACTTTTTCATTATAACAACTTCCCCTCTATGTAAAAGGTATGAATTCTGTATAAAAAATTCTTTAGAAAGTGTTAGAATGATTAAAAACTGCATCTACATTGAACAGTGGTGCCAGTGATCAATTTGATGTAATTTAACTCCAGTACATTATCTCAAAAAACATTTCTTTAATATTCACAAGTATTTATAAACACAGGACTTAATATTTGAAAAGCAAAAGCATATTCTCAAGAAAATGTAAACTGTACTGAAATGCAAAGAAGAACACTCAGTCAGTTCTATTCTTTGCTAAGAATAAAAAGTGACAGTTAAAGGATTCACTTACTGCTAATTACGCAGCAGAATGATCCAAATACTTAGGAAACAGTAAAAGGCCAAGGCAACGTAAAGCTTACATCAGACTCTGTAACTTAAGAACATAACCTAAAAACCATCTTTACAAGACAATCACATATGTAGAGACTCACGGGATGTTGGAGAGGTGCAGGGTGGCAGATGGAGGAAAGATATTTTGGAAGTTCTTACAGCCAGGTTTCTTAAAGCGATGTAGAGGGCTATTGCTATAGTCCTTCGTCAGACCATTGCCCTCTTGTCCCTCAGGAGGAAGTTGAATTATTTGATGTTTTGAAAGAGTAGCACGGAGGACCCTTCCATAAAGCTTCTGTCCATTCAAGTGACTCATAGCTAACCAGTGGAAATAGAATTGGAACAGGAATGAAGGGAAAGGAAGAAAAAAGGATTCTTTGCCTTCTATTTAATGTCAGATTTCACATTCTATACTTAAACTGCAACTTCCATGTTTACCAGGTGGGCTATGTCATAACATTATATTTAAAAAAAAGTATAAGAATGTAAGATATCCTACAGTTTAAATGCAACAAAAATGCAAACCAGCATTTCAATAGAGAGCAGTTGAGTATTCTTAAATAGGTAGATATAGGATAAACTACAGTAAAATTATATGACGCATTAGTAAGATAAACTACAAGAAAATAGTATAATGTTTTAATTCTAACATTGACTAGATTGAGATTCACAGGGTATTTTTTTTTTTAACTACAAGAATTTTTTTTTTTTTTTTTTACACCAACAGAAACGTTATGAACATTAAAAAGGAAAAGCTTGTATGTAGTAAAGCATCATGATGATGGATTTAATTTGTTTATGCTTTTGTCACTCATAGAAAGCAAATTCCTCATCTCTATCACACTCAGGCTAGTTTAAAGCATAACTGTGCCTTAAAAATCAGTACCTAACTGAGCCTGGGTTGCATCTGCCATCTGAACCAATGCGTTGCCTTTTTTCTTAAACATGATCTTCACACGATGCACATCACCATACATACCTGAGGAAATCCAGAGAGAAAATTTGTCCAGAGCAGTACTACAAACAGCACAAGGGCAAATCTGGGGTTACAAAGAATAATCACCTCACTAAACAGGTTGGTTAGAATATTAGTATGAAGGAGATCTTTAAATTTTGTGTGTTATTTTCTGAGGCTCAGAAATGGGGAAATCCCACAGGATCTTAGTCATAATACAGCATATTTATATTCAGCTGTTAAATAGTGCAACAGTGTTGAAGTCCTCTTAGTAGAGGCATATTAAATATTACTATGCCTACAAACATTGTCCTCTGCAACTAATGCACATACCAATTCTTTACTCCATTTCCTCTGACTCAGTCTTTGTTTTTTCATTTCACTTTGCTTTCCCATCCTTTGTAGTAAACAAATTGGACCACACACTGAAATTCTTCTGATGCTGTAAACATTGCCATTTTGGTAACGGTCGCCTACAACTACTGACTCAAATGACTGTCATTTTAAAACTAGCACATTCTCTTGTGCATTTTCTGAACAAGGACAGAGAAATGAATCTTGCATTAGCCAGAATATGTCAAATAAATAAAGAATGCTAGCCCTCAAGGTATATTTGACGTATCTTACCAAACAGGATGAAAAGTCCATGTGGTGTGATGGCCTGTTTAAATGATAAAATGAGTATATTATTTTTAAAGCCATGCAAATAAAGAAATCTATTCTATAAATGCATGGTAAACAAAAAGAATGGAAGAGATACTGCACACTGATATTTGAACCTGTCTCTTCAAATGCCATTCCCTGCAATAACTACAGTGTATAGCATTCTTTTTAATATATATTTGCTATGCACATATAAAATATTTAAACATGCTAATACTGCAGCTCATGTATTTTCATCAATCCAGACTCAGTCTGTCATGCTGAAGAAGTTATTAATATTTCAAGTGGCTTAATTATTTGAGCTCATTCTTTCCAACCTAGCAGTTCCCTTCCTGAAAAACAAAAGACATTTGCTAAACTAGAAACAGAAAAGAGCATTCAAGAACCCTTTTGTATTTTCTAAACAGCAGACAACACCTTAAAACTAAAAGCTGCAAAATGCAAAATCAACAGTCAAGTAGAATTGTTGGTTTAGTCATGGCCTCTGTAAAGCTTGATTTTTATTTTTTTTCTTAAGAGATGTACATTGGTTTTAATAAAGCATAGATCAATGTGTAGTATTTAAGTAACAGAAATAAGCTTATAGAATGGTCTATGTCATTTTTACTATAAAAATAACTTGCAAGCTGTCCTTGGCAACTTTACTGCCAACATATATATATTGAAAAAAATAAATAAAAAACTGTGTGTATTATGAGATGTGAACATGTGTATTTATTAACTTTTATAAATGGATTTACAGTGACGTCAATAGCAAAGTGCACCGGTGATCTTCCTCTCCAAGCTGGGATAAGTTGCAAAAGTTTAAAGATCTTGCTTTGGCATGCTTTTATTTCCTTTTCTCTTCCCTCATGTTTCTCTAACTCCTCATGCTTTGTAACAAATAAAAGTCTTTGGCCTTTCTAATGACAAAGTAGCTCACAGAGGAGTCATATTAACAGAGGCACGAGTAAGTTTAGTTGTAATGTATGTTGTTCACCTCTTCAAGCATTTCTCACATCTGACCATGGACTTTTCTCTAATTACCAGCTACCCTCCTAATAAAGGTTTTCTAAAGTAAATTGCATTGGGAAGCTTTTTACTGTTGACTGTAGTTTTCAAACATCAGTATTGCAAACTATCTCAAACAAGAATAGAGCTGTCCTATTCTTTGTATTACCACCACTTAAGATTTACTCTCTTGCTTCTTTAGCTAATGTCAGTTTGCAAGAAGAATTCCAGCAGTTGGTATAAGATGATACTTGCACGTTTCACCAATCAAACTTACTTCAGGGTTGAGGTTGCTGACTAGTAAAACAGAATTGGCTGGAACACTAGTAACACCAGGAAGATTCACTGGTCCGGGCCCTGCTGATGTGGGAGCAAGAGAACCAAGTGGTGCAGGAACAGCTGGAACTGAATAACCTGACAGGGTATTAATAGCATAATGTCACATCTCAAAGAAGAAAAGACATTTTAGGAGACAAAAACAGGTTACACTTGGCAAAAAACTCAGTTAAAAAATGCTTCTAAGGAATTTAGTTATTACTAGTATTTGACCAATAAAGCAGAAAGCACCACCCCTCCAGAAATATTCAGAAATACTCAGCTATACCAACAGACCCAAACAAAAGGGACAAGCCCAAGAAAGAAGAAAAATAATTTAGCACAGAAAGGAAAAGATTGCTGAGTCTGGAAGACTACATATTTCTCATTTTATAGCCAGAAAAGGGGAGACTTCCTTCTTTAGCTTTGAATTTCACTGAAGTCTTATGATTCTTACTAAAACATATGCTTAGTTTCTTCAATTGCAGATAATCTTTATCATGACATTTAATTTCTTTATCATATTTATTAAATGATAAAATACTTCAGCATGTGAGGTTTTTTATTCAGAAATTAATTTTGCTGAATAACGTGAAAGAGAACCAAAGTGACGCAAATGACCACTGTGTTCCAACCGCAGTGTTTGAAAACAATTTGCTGTGAACTAGTGTATTCAGATAGACCACTAGCCACATATAAAAACACTGTGGTTTTAGAAAACAGAAACTTACTTGCAGCTGGAGCAAAGTTCATGGCTGGGGCAAACCCAGGAGCCCCTGCATACGATGGCATGATGAAATTTTGGGTGCCTAGAAAGAGCAGACACATCTCATTTTAAAATCTTCAGAAAAAAGAAGAGTCTTCAGCAGTAAGAATCAGCTTCTAGTGTTCTGACCTCAGTCTGTGATTATGTCTTTTACAAAATGTTTGTGTTAAAAACTCTTATTAAAATCCAAAATTCAATGTTTTACAAAGACGAATTTCAGCCACATTTGAAGACAAATATTCCACTTAGCCTCAATTTTCCTCTTTAAAATGAAGCCAGAGCAAGATGTAATATAGACAAGTTTGAATAGCAAAGCACAGCGTAGAAGACCATCCATTAAAGTTAAGATACATTAAGATACCTGTGGTGCAGTGTTTCATAGTTTCTATTCGCACAATGAAAACGTATTCTAAACACTTCCTGGAAGTAAGTACACTCGAAGACATTTTGCAGCTATGAGATACAGCTATTTCCTAGGTATTTCTATAACCAGTAAGGGTTAAATAATACAAACAGCTACAATGAATCTGAAGTTCTGAATTTTACTAGCTACTGAGGTGCATAAAGTATACATATCTTGTCTTCTAAGGAGATCTACTTTACCAGGTTATATTATTTCATAAACAATCTAGGGTTTTTTTATGATTGTCCTGGCAATCAAAAGCATTAAACAGATTTGGAGTACCGACATAAGGAGAATGCCAGCCTCAAAGATAGCTCAGTGATTTTCACATTAGCGTGTGGAGGTAAGTGCTACCCAGAGCAGCACACTAACTTGTACTCTAAGATGCAGTCAGATGTAAACTTGAGTTGTGATTTCTTTCATATGATGGCACACTAGACTTTTTTAAATGGAGTATATGTATTTAGCAAATACATCCTACAAGCCTAGCAATATGTCTGTTTTACTAGTCAAACCTCCACCATTGACAAAAATAGCTACATTCACTAACAGATGGTTATTGACAGGGATGATACAACAGTATAAGAAGTATATGTTACAAATTACAAAACCAACAAATGAAAGAGGCACCACAGATCAAGTATTCATGAATGCTACATTATATCTCCTCTTATCTGTAGTAACAAAGTCTCTTTCATACAAAAAACTGAATCCATTTATCACACCAAAGGAAGTCATTGTGTTCTTGAAATACACACACTGGTGCATTATATTGACAAGTCCTGGTAATACAGATATTAATCACTTATTCACAATCCAAGAATGGTAATGGTAACATTAATGAAGAAATAGATAAGGCGCTTCTATTCTGCCAAATAAGACCTGCATGTTGCACACTGATACCAAAAATCAGGCATGCAAAAATTGTCAAACAGAGATAATGCAGAAAGATCTGGAATTCTCTGTTGCACTTTTTATGTGTAAAATCATTTGCTTCATGGCTAGCTTTCAAAGCAAGCTAATTCATTTATCTCTGCTTAAGCTCACTGGGTGAGGCAACTCTTTAAATGCAGAACATTCACAAAATCTGCTTATTTATAGTGCAGCATCTTTTCCACCACAAGTGAATGAAAAAACCTAAAAAAAACCCCCTAAAAACCAAAAAACCCTAAAAAATATGCAAAATACCCACCAAGTTCCAAGAGCAGTTCAGTTTTGCTAGTAGGATAACTTCAAGTCTACAGAAAAATTGATGTATTATTCTGATAGTTACATGTTTTATCTTCTAATTCTCCATCGAAAATATATCTACTAGTAGTAACATCGGAAGTGTAAGTGCTAACATGACTCCCAATATCTTTTCTTCACGTCATGCAACTGAGGACTGTCAGAACATGCCTACGGCAATGTATGTGTGTTGTCACCACTGACTGAAAGGCTAGAAGCATGCTTCTCCCGGTCTACAGCTGTTTTTTTTTTTAAAAAAAAGAAAAATAACTATACAGCTGCTTCACTGTGACTGCACTGCAAATAAACTTTGATGAAGACATCAAAATCTTCTTTACATCAGCACCTCTGCCGTCCATACTGTTACAGTAAACGTTCAGACTGAGAACAGGATTGTTAGCAACAACAAGGTTGAAAGAGTGAGGGGGAAGGAAATGGAGATGTGCTCATGTGTTTTCCTTCAAAAGTATGCATACAATGTTATCTCTGCTTTATAAACAAGTTTGTCCTTAATCTGCTCTAATTTTACGTTCCCCTTTCATTGACATTTCAAATTGTGCAAGTCTAATTAACCAGAACATCCAATCTATAACAGCATGTTTCCATGATGCTCTATGGCAAATTCTCAAAACCATGATAAAGATGGTTGTACATTATGTTAAGATCTAAGGCTTTCCGTCAAGGGAACCAGCAAAAACAATCCAGAAAGTAGTGTGTGCAACTCACTTTCTTACTCTAATCTAAGCTACCAAAGCCAGCTATCCAAAAAACCCAAGCCAAACCCAGTATCTGCCCTAGCTTCACAGAAAGCTAAAGGAAAAAGAGGAATTCTTCCCCAGCCCTTCTCCAACCTATTCAACATGCTGAGACAGTTCTTAGCTGTGTATTAGTGCTAATGGTTGTCATTAGAGAGAAAGAAAAATAGCTAAAATCACTCAAATTGCATTGTGAGCACTTCTGTCAGATCATCATATTATTCTGTTTGGTGATTTGCATTGTTACTGAAGCTGATTAAATTAGGATTCCTGAGCTATGTATGCCAAAAAGGCTTCTCCAGTGTAGCTTCAAGCAGACACTGTATCCTCTACATCATGGAAATTACTTCTAAAATTCACAAAAATTTCTAAAATTTTATCTTTTAGAAGGTGACAACAAAATACACATATATATATATATAGGTGTAGCATTTCAAAGTGTCTTGTGGTTTTGTTTGTTACAGGAGGCAGTTATCCTAAAATAACAACAAATAAGAGCTAACACTCTTCAGGCACTTATTTTCAAGCAGCTTTAGGCAAACAGTGTCAAGAATGACTGCCACTGACCATTCTGATATGCAACATTTATTATACTACCTGTACCAATGATATAATTTCACAGCATTTTACAAATACAGCTTTTTCACACCACTTTGAATTTGCCCAAATACATTTCTCTTGTTATAGTTTCAGATACTTGTATATTTTGAGTAGTACTTTCTGCTTTCTGTACAAACTTTATTTGACCTAACAAACAGAAATGTAAACAAAATGTACCCTTCTATGAACCTGATATGAAGCTAAAGCGTAAGTGCAACATAAAAAGCATAGTGACCTTATTGCGTATCACTAAAAATGAAGGTTTCTTACCATAGGTAGGTACCATGGGTGGCTCCGGAGGTTGCTGGCCATCACCAAATGGAAGGTCAAGGCGAGTGAAATCTCTGCTTTTCTCATTGTTGTACTTTACCTTAAGGCTAGCTAACTTGGAGAAGTCAATACGGAGGGTGCAGCACATAGTGTAAATATTATGGCCATCCAGACTCTGAAGAAAAATAGCAATTTGTTATTTTTGTTATAGCTTGTTTTCACAGACAAATCACATAAAAGCATCCATCACTGTAAGTTTATTTTCACCCTACATTTGTATCCAAACAGAAATGCATCTTGTTTCTAAGGTGCTGCTTTTACACACCAAGTATACAACTTTGATGCCACCATCCTTACCTTAACATCCTATGCAGAGTACTAGTGCAGTCCACTAATTAGCATTATGTTGCCTTGTGCCAATGGGCAAAACAGCTTTAAACATGACTTGTCTTTCTTGCTGTGCTTCTAATCTTGCTTGTCTCACACTGAATACACGGTATCAGATGCTAATAGCAATACTAATTTGAAGCTTTTATTGCATGGAATTGTCCCTTACAGAAGCTGGTAAAGGGCCTAGAGCACTAGTCTTACGAGGAGCAGCTGAGGAAACTGAAGTTGTTTAACCTGGAAAAGGCTGAGGGTGGGATCTTATCACTCTCTACAACTACCTGAAAGGAGGATGGAGCAAGGTGGGGATTGGTCTCTGCTCCCAAGTGATATTACAAGAGGAATCAGCCTCAAGTTGCACTAGGGAATGTTTAGATTGGATGTAAGGAAAAACTTCTTCACTGAAAGGGTTGTCAAGCACTAGAACAGACTGCCCAGGGAAGTGGTTGAGTCGCCATCCCTGGAGGTGTTTAAAAGACCTGAAGATGTGGTTCCATGGTGGACTTGTCAGTGTTCAGTTTATGGTTGGACTCAATGACTTTAAGGGTCTTTTCCAACCTAAATGATTCTATAAAATCCATCTCTTTAAGAGTAGCTATGCTCAGAAAGAGCACTAAACTAGTATTTTCTGCTTAAACCAGTCATAAAAGAATCATGATGGATGAAGGGGGGTTAAACACACTCAAAAGATACTGGTTTGTTATAATTACTTAATGTAATCTAGACTAGAATTATAATTTCTATGAAATCTTTAATAAGGTATAGATTATTATTAATACTGTTCTTTAAGACAAGATGGTATTGTTAACAAACAGGCTATAATCCCACTTACCTTTACTAATTTCCAATATATACTTATTCGCTAAAACACATAGTGAATTTACTTACTGGACTAACTTGCAAACAGAAATAGATAAATATTCTGTGTCTTTAATTTTGAAGCTGAGAATAAAGTCAACTTCAGTAACAGAAGTAGGGTAAAAGTTCCATTCACTCTAGTCTATTGGTGATCTAAAAAAACCCCAAAACCTAACGCTAAATACCATTTAATACTTAGCAGAATCTATTCTTCTATATACCTTATATGGGAACTTTCAAATTGATTTTATTTATTTACTAATATTGAAGTGACCACAGAGGTTAAAGGGAAATACAAAGCATCTCAGGCCCAGATATCCCTAATGTTCCCCATTTCCCTGGGAGGGTGGGAGGGGGACCAACTAAACAATCAAGCTGAATACACTACACTTACCATTTTGGCATAATATGCATTCATTGGATCAGCATACTGGAGCAAAGCTTGGAATTGATTGTTCCTAGTGAAGGTAATAATCCTCAAGACAGATCCAAACTTAGAGAAAATCTTGAGAATGAAAAAACACGAACTTTCAGAAACAATGAATAATTCATGCACACTAAAATCTAGCATTTAATATATCATAGAGATTGCTAAAAATTATTTCTTTTGTGAGAGCTGAAGAGAAATCGAATAAACTTAGGAGTTTTTTCCATATAAAAAAATAAAAGAGGCTATAAAAGGTAATGAAGAATAATGAAATTTCCTTGAAGATTTAGTAGTGACTGTTCAACAATCAAGGAGCGGGGAAGGCCAGCCCAAACAGGCATTTGTTCAATGTCTGCAGAGAAACTGTGGATAATCAAGGCTGAGGTTTGAGAAATGGACTTTCACAAATCAGTTGAGATCAGAACTGCAATCTGCCTTTCAAGGTATCCACTTTTACATTCTGTACTTCAAACAAGTTCTGCAAATTTGGTGACCAAAAATACATCTTAAATAGTTGATGTGTCGACAGATTTATTACTCACAACTACTGTCCAAACTGGAAGACAAAGAAGGAAAGAAGACAAAGATCTAGTTTGGGACCAATGCCTCTAATTTATGATTGAATGGTATTTGATTTATTGCAAATGCAAGCATTGCAGAAAAAAATAATTCAGAAGTCTGAAATTAATATACCTACACTCAAAATGAGAGTGTGAACTACGTGAAGGTGTCTGTACAAAAGCAAAGCCACAAAGAACAAGGAGAAAAGTATAGCTAGGGGATATCATGCAAGTGCAGAAAAAGTGTGGCCAAATCAACAGTGGAAGAGGAAAGGTAAGTCTGGAAAGTAGTAACAGTTTTAGAACAAATTGTTAGAATCAATGCAAGTCAGGAAAGCAGAACTCTCCCAGCCCTCCCCACCCCCAGACAAATACTAAGCCTGGAACAGAAAGAAAAGGGCAGGAAGGATGACCCTGGGAACTACAGGCCTGTCAGCCTGACCTCAGTGGTGGGGAGAATCATGGAGCAGATAATCCTAGTGAGATCAAAAAGCACGTGTAGGAAAACGGAGTGATCAGGCCCAGCCAGCATGGGTTCATGAAGGGCAGCTCCTGCTTGATCAACCTGGTCTCTCCTTCTACAATCAAGTGACCTGCCTGGTTGATGAGGGAAGGGCTGTAAGACATTGTCTATTTGGACTTAAGTAAAGCATTTGACACTGTCTCCCACAGCATTCTCCTGGAGAAATTTGCTGCACATGGCCTGGATAGGTGGATTCTTAACTGGGTTGGAAACTGGCTGGATGGCTGAGCCCAAAAAATGGTGGAAAATGGCATCACATCTAGTTGGCAACCAGCCACCAGTGGTGTCCCTCAGGGCTCAGTGTTAGGGACAGTGTTGTTTAATATCTCCAGTGGTGATCTTGATGACAAAATTGAGTGCACCCTCAGTAAATTTGCAGACGACACCAAGTTGGCTGAGAGAGTTGATCTGCTGAAGGACAGGAAGACTCTGCAGAGGGATCTGGACAGGCTGGATCGACGGGCTGTGGCCAGTAGTATGAGGTTCAACAAGGCAAAGTGCCTTGTCCTGCGCTTGTGCCACAACCACCCCATGCAATGCTACAGGCTTGGGGAAGAGTGGCTGGAAAGCTGCTCAGTGGGAAAGGACCTGGGGGTGCTGATTGATGGAGCTGAACATGAGCCAGCTTGTGCCCAGGCAGCCAAGAAGGCCAACAGCATCCTGGTCTGCATCAGCAATAGTGTGGCCAGCAGGGCCAGGGCAGTGACCATCCACCTGCACTCTTCACTGGTGAGGCCACACCTCAAATCCTGTGTTCAGCTCTGGGCCCCTCACTACAAGAGAGACATTGAGGTGCTGGAGCAGGTCCAGAGAAGGGCAATGAAGATGGTGAAGGGTCTGGAGCACAAGTCTGATGAGGAACAGCTGAAGGAACTGGGGGTGTTTAGTCTGGAGAAGAGAAGGCTCAAGGGGGGACCTTATTGCTCACTACAACTACCTGAAAGGAGGTTGTAGTGAGGTGGCGATTGGTCTCTTCTCCTAAGTAACAAGTGACAGGACAAGAGGAAACCACCTCAAGCTGTGACAGAGGAGGTTTAGACTGGATATTAGGAAAAATTTCTTCACCAAAAAGGTGATCAGGCAAGTGGTGATCAGAACACTGGTGGAATCACTGTCCTTGGAAGTGTTCAAAAAACATGTAGATGAGGCCCTCAGTGATATGGTTTAATGGTGGTCTTGGCAGTCCTGGGGTAATGGCTGGACTTGACCTTAAAGGTCTTTTCCAACCTAGTTGATTCTATGAGATAAGGACAAGCATCTCTTGCCAGCCTATTAGGCCTAAAATCATGGATACAGGACACACTATCCCAGAGCTTTGTGCCCAGTTTTTCAGAATCTCAGAAACGAGGGGTTTATGCTGCAGTCACCATTTCGTAACAGAAGACAGAACAAAAAGCTTTTTCATAGCAATTTAAAATTAGCCACTGAGTTCCTGTTCATAAAGCACTTCCCTCTTAAGAAAGACCCAAATACAGCTTCTGAACATAGGCTTTTACATGTTTATACATGAAACTAAATAGACCTTTTTAAGATAATGAAATTCCATTTATTCCTGTTTGGTTTTAAACCTAAAACTCACTGTACATCGATTTTGTTTCTGCAAAGATAACACTTAATATTCTGTTTCTTATAATAAATATTTTAAGGTGAATTCTGGTTAAAAAAAGTGTTAGCTTCTTGACAAGCAACTGTAACTTGAAAAATACAACTGAAGTTTTGGATGACAGCTTGCCTATTGGTGTTCCCTCCATACTTATCAGTGAAATTTTCATTTCCATTAATGTTATCACATTTATAAAGTGACGTTACGTTGTTGCTATAAAGTGCTCCTTTAATAAGAGGAGATTGACTCCTGTTAAGAACGCCAAAAAAAGCTCCCTTTTCAAATATTGCTTAATTTTCTATTGCAGACCTATTGCAAAAGTAGTTGAGTGAGGGTCATCAGGCAATTCAAAGACTAAAAACATTGTTCTGCTGCACTGAAGTAAACATTAATCAAACTAAAATAAATTAACATGAATCCCTCTTCCACTATGTTCTTAACAAAACAAGACCCCAAAACCAAGTAAACAAACAAAACCCCCACAACTAAACAAAACCCCATACAAGGTTAGATCCAGGAACTGCTATTGCACTATTAATCTCGTACAGCTCCCATAACCACAGGAGTTTCGTGTGTTATTCTGACTGCATTAATGATCCTAAACAGTCGACAGTATTTGCACAAGCTCAACAATGAGTGGACACTCAAGAGATACAAACAAGAGTAGAAAGAACAAATTGCTACATCAAAGTGACAACTAGTATACTAGTTAGTATCATGGAGGAGAGATACTGAGAAAGGAAATACTGATAGGTAAAAGGAAAAGTAAAATGTTGGTAACAATGAACAATTGTTTGAGATGCTAGTAAAGCAGCAAAAATCTTTCAAAACTGCAGGTGCTTGTAAAAATACCCCAATTATTTTAAATCACATTAATTTAAGAAACTCGGATTTGGGGATTTGATTTTTTTACTGCACACATTTACCAGTAATTATTAAAGCTTCAAGCATTTAAACCACTTGCAATATCTGAAAAAAGTAACAAATCCTTCAGGCACAAGGAAATAGTCTTGTAAAGTTACTGGTTTTAAACTTACAGCTCTCAACAGAGCACAACAGCGCGTTAGGATAGAGCAACCACCTAGCAGGAGTTATGGTAATGTCTTTCATGGCTATAGCCCGCTTCTGCGCCAGGCTTTCAGAGGTAGTTAAAGTAAATGGCATTCTAACAGTTGATGAACAATTAAAAACATTTATCCAAGCAACTATATGTGTATATTACATCACTTGCTTCAAATTATAAAAGTGAATATAAAAGTCTAAAATACAATGCAAACTACAAAAGTTTCTCAATAGAAAGAGTGCTAGAATATGGGTGCATAAGTTCATAACAATCGTTTCACTAGCTCTTCACATGGGCATGAATTAGAAGTTACACCTCAAGTTTGTGATTGCTTCCACAGAAACCAAGGAACTAAACAAAATGAAAGATAACATGAAAAGCTGTAAACAGCTGTAAACAGAAGCCCTGTTTACTATGATCTTTTTTTGTGCAAAACTGATTCCTAGATCCCCATATTCCAACAAATAATTTTAAAATTACAGTCCTCATTCAAACAATTAAGGATGCACAGCTACTTAAAAAAAAGGTAATTGATTTACAATGGCAACCATGGAACAGACTTTAACTTTCTTCTTTAGCAATCTTCATTACCTGATACAACACTTCTATAGTGACAGGGTAGTGAAGATTTTCAACAATGATTCGAAGAACCGAACCTTGATATGGATGGTGCCCACCTTCAGCAGTATAAGCACTTGGAACAGCCTGGCTTCCAGGCTGTGTAGCATTCACAGCTTGCAATGCAGCTTGGGATCTCTGAAATCATGACACAGCAGACACCACAAGTACACACAAACAAATTATTAGTTTCTAAACAAAGTTCTCATACAAAGAAAAGCATGTATAATGCATTTAAAATGCAACTTTTAAAAAACATATTCTCTTTATCTGATTATCAGTTCAAATCCCCTATTAATAGGAAAATCATACCACTTCCTTCCCTTCCTTTACCCTAAAAGAAGTCAGATCATACTTTCACATAATTATAACTCTTCTTTAGTTAAACTGTTCCTACTTTGTAATGCCATATAAACACAATTTTGCTTTGATTCAGTAAGCTTTTGTTACTCTAGACATTTTCCAGTAAATCCGTATGATGACAATACTGTAATAGACTAACAGTCAGTGTACTAAAAACTATTAGCTTGGCTTTACTAGGATTGCATTCTCTTCAGGAGCTAAGTTTTGCTGGGGATAAGCTTAAAGGTGCATAGCCTGCTCTTCTTTCTGAGCCAAGCTATCAACACAAAAATCACCCTGAAATCTCACTCCTCAAACTGCCTTATTGGGACATTCAAAGTCACTATGCTTGTTTTTGATGAGCTTTTCTCAGAAAGCTCTTCAGACTACCTCTGAGAGTACTATGGATAGGTGTTCCTTCCCAAATGTAGTGCTGTGACTTGAAGTCATGTCTCAGTAACACTATTTCCTTGGAAGACGGACTAAACATGGCACACAATACAGATGTTAGCTAGTTTCAGAAACTCCTGCAAAATAATCTGTACTTTAGGCCTGAGTCTAGACACTAAGTCAGTAATGTAGTGTTTAGCTGCTCTGCTAGTGTCAACAAAATATAAATAAAACTCAAATGTAAAAGTGGGGGGAAAAAAAGTAAAATAAAAGTGGACAATGTTGCTTTTATAGAAAGAGAAATCAAGTGTCATAAATTGAGCTGAAAAATAATCTGAGAAACAGATACAAGGAGCCTTATTTGCAGTATGAGTATAGTTTTCCTAAGGCTGTTACATAAACCACATCCTTAAAAAAAAAATCTTGTTAGTTATTTGTTTTTGCAGATAACAAACCAATCCAGCAATCTTGAATAAAGAAAGATAGAAATAACATTTATTAGATTGACAAGCTTGCAAGATTTCAGTGACTTGTGTCAGCACAAATTAAAACTAAGCATTTATTTTAGCCCCAATCACTACTTGCAACATTCCTACAAAAAAAAAAAAAACATGATACACACATCACAGTGTATAACTTATGTATCTAAATGGGAGGTCAATTGCAATTCATCCAGGAACCAAAAAATCCAGACAGATTTCCACTGTGATATGGTGGTTCGTATTCTTTGATATTACTGTGCAAAAAGTACTTTAGTGTTTACAGATTAGGATTTAAACCACCACCTGCAATGTCCAATTCACATTCTTATGAAATCAATTTTTTGTACTTCAAAAATGCATGGAAGAAATTAATTTTGTTTGGCATGAAGTTACATATAAAACTGATGTTTTATCAGTGAAAATACCCACTTTATTTGATCTATGGTTTTTCTTAGAATAAACAATTAACATTAATTTTAACCATGTTATCTTCTTTAAATTTGAACAATTTAAAGATTATGATTTGCCATTCCTGAGTTTGGCAAGGCCTTGGAACAGTGACAACACCATGTATCTTTCAAAAACAGATTACGTGACCCCTCACAATAATCTGACCAAGTAAAAAGCTTCAAAAGAGTAGCTTTTGGGGCAGAAAGTGGTTCATCATGTATCAGCTGCGTTTATTCGTCCTTGTGTTCTTTAGATAGCACCTACAGACCACACGATTAGCAATTAACTTTAAGAAAACACAAGCATATGTTTTTGTGGTATTCTTGCTACTATATTGTGGACATGGGGAAAAAATCAGGACTAATTAGTCAGAGAAAAGATTTATTGGAAAAGACATTTTATTCATGTTCTGAAGCTACTGAGAGCTGTTACCTGTTAAAAGTTAGGAATGGCAAAAGTGCTTTCAAAACGAAGTAAGCAAGTATTTCTCAATAGTGTAGAATGCAACAGCAGGCTCACCTACAGCAGGCTGCTTAGAACTGTTTCCCATCAGGTTTTAAATGTATCTGACGATGGAGATTATACAGTATCTCAGAGCAACCCATTCCAATGTTTGATCACTATGAGAGTAAGAAAGTTTCTTAAGCAAATTTTTCTGTATTTGAAATAACGCACGTTGCCTCTTGTTCTGTCACAAGGCATCACTGAAAAGTCTGTCTCCATTTGCAGACATTGGTAAGATACCCCCAAGCCTTCTCTTCTTAAGGCTGAACAGTCCTTAACCATCTTCACAGCCTCTTGCTGGATTAGCTCCACTATGTACATGCTCCTCCTGTACTGAGGAGCTCAGGACTGGACACAGAATTCCAAATGTGTCTCATCAGCATTGAGTAGTGGGAAGGTCACCACCCTCCATCTGGCAGCAACACTCCGCTTTCTGCAGCCCCAGATGCTGCTGCTGGCCACCTTTCCTTCAAGGGCACATGTGTTGTCCACCAGGAACCTCAGGTCGTCCTCTACCATGCTGCTTTCCAGCTGGTTGACCCCAGCGTACAACAGTGCCTGAGGTTACTCCTCAGGTGCAGAAGTTGGCGTTTCCCTTTGTTGAACTCAGTGAGGTTCCTCCTGTCAGTCCGCCTCTCCAGCTTTTTAAGGTTCTTCTGAATGACAGCACAACCATCTGGGATGTCAACTAGCCCTCCCAATTCTGTGTTGTCAGCAAACTTGCTAAGGATATTTCCCCTCCCATCATCCAGGATATTAATAAAGATGTTAAACAGTATTGAACATAGGATCAACCCCTAGGGTACTCCATTACTGATTAGCCCCTTGCTGGACTTCATGCCACTGGCTGCAACTATTTTAGCCTTTCAGACCACTTCATAGTTTACTTATCTACACTGTATTTAATCAGTTTGTCTACTGGGATGTTATCAGAAATAATGTTCAGAGTCCTGCCAAAGTCAAGTTAAACAATATCCACTGGTCTCCTCTCAACCGTCAAATCAGTCACCTCACTGTAGAAGCCTATCACATTGGTTAGGCACTACTTCCTTTTCAAAAACCCTTGCTGACTTTTCCCAACCACCTTCTTGTTCTTAGAATGTATGAAAAGGTTTCCAGGATTAGTTGCTCCATTCCTATCCATCTAGGTAAGGCTGATCAGCCAGTGGTTCCGTGGATCCTCCTTCTTGTCCTTCTTTAAGATAGGAAAGAGATTTGCTTTCTTCCAATGCTCAGGAGCCTTCTCCAATTGCCATGACCTTTCCAAGACTGTAAGAGTGGCCTTGCAATGACGTCAGCCTTGCAGCTCCCTCAGTACTCACAATTGAATCTCATTAGGGCCACAGACTTTTGTTTATCCTGTTTGCTTTAATGTTCCCTAGTGAGATTCCTCTCTACTTCCTTCACGCTGTCCTCAGTGGTTTGGTATTCTGAAGGGCAAGTTGTAGCCACTAATGTCTGAGAAGAAAGCATCCAGTACTTCAGACTTTTTCACGTACTTTGTCAGCAGGGCCCCTGCCCCATTCAGCAGCAGGCCCACACATTCCCTAAATCTTCCACCTGCTGCTGACTCATTTTGAGGGGCCATTCTTGCTGCCATTCACACCCCTTCCCAAGCCAACTCCATGTGGTCTTTAACTTTTCTAACCACATCCCTGCATATTCAGATAATGCTCTCTATATTCCTCCTCAGTATTTCTAAATAAATTTCTGTTACCTCAAATAATCACCTGTCCATGATTCTATCTCCCTCTTTTTTATGTCTGAGTTCAGTCAGGAGCTCCTTGTTCATCCAAGCAGTCCTCCTGCCACCTTCACTTGATTTTCTGCACATCAGGATGAACAATGCTTGAGCTTGAGCTCCTCCACAGTAATTTCAGACAGAATTCCCTGTCTGAAAAAAGTTACTGCTTGGATAACAAGAGACAGAAATAATATCTATCAGAATGTGACTGTTGGTGTAGTGGAAAGTATTCTGTTTATTTACTAAAATTGTAGTTTAACACTGAGAGGCAGCTAAGTGCCACACAGCTGCTTGTTCACTTCCCCCCAGCAGTATGGGGGAGAGAATAGAAAGGGTAGAACTGAGAAAACTCATGGGTTGAGATAAAGACAATTCAATAGGTAAAGCAAAAGCTGCATGTGAAGCAAGGCAAAATAAGGAATTCCTTTACTGCTTCCCACTGGCAGGCAGGTGTTTAGACATTTCCTGCAAAGTAGGATATTATGTGTAACAGTTGCTTAGTAAGAAAAACACCATAAGGCCAAACATCCCACCTTCCTCCTCCTTCCCCCAGCTTTCATTGCTGAGAACAACGTCTTGTAGTACAGAATATTCCTTGGGTCAGTTGGGGTCAGCTGTGGGGTGACCCAACTTCTTGTGCATTCACTGTCAGGGTAGTGTGAGAAGCAGGAAAGACCTTGACATTATGTAAGCATCACAAGCTACTATGAAGAAAATTAACTATCCTAGCCAAAACCAGTACACAACTCATACACAGTTCTATCCTGCTAAATGGAAGTACTATACTTACAGCCTGATTAGGTGAACTTTCAACCTTAAGTTCTCTGTGCTTGGAATACTGAATATAAACAGGCTGACTGTGGAGATGAGGTGTAGAAAGACTACAGTGGTTCACCAGAGCAGCAGCAGCTTCTTCAGAAGCCATTTCCAAAAATGCCTGTAACCAATACATAGCACTCGTCAGTGTTGTGTTGTTTACAGGAGAGAACAAAGCATTAAAGCACCATATTCCCAATTCTAGTCTCAGTAGAAAATTATCATGTGAATGTACAGTATTGATTTGTTCAGCATTTGATCTGATTTGTGGGTTTTCTTGAAAGGTTTTTACATTGTAAGTACAGTAAGTCATTAAAGATAAGCATGACATGTGGGAAGCAATGCAGCTAAAAATACCACACTGCTAATGAATTTATTAGATTCCTGAATGCAAGCACTACTACCTAAGTAGCAGACACACATACTGATTTAAAAAGCAGGAACAAGACATTATACATCAGTTCGTGCATATTAACCCAGCTCACTGCTGAAGACAATTTTTTTTATTAGTGCCTATTATTTTTAGCATTTCAGTGTTTATTCATAATGTGAACTACCCTGTTATATCTAAGAGGAAAAAACAGAACAAAACAAAAATCCTAAGCTATTTATTTCAGATTAAAAAGTTAACATGTATGTTAGTTATTTAATCAGGTGGGTTATTTCAAGACTTATGTCAACATCAATTGTAACAATGTAGTTCTTTATCATCTATATATACTTACACAAGGCAGATGTAATGCTTAGCAATATTACTAACAAGTTACTAGATCATTATTTAATCCAAAAGTGTATTAAAAATTAAAGTATCAGGACATTCTTTCACCTTTGAAAATACTAGGATCTTGAGCTATCAATAAAATGCCTCGATATTGTTGCAATCATTGCAGCCAAATGCAGTATCAAAAGTGTCATAACATGAACACATCTTCAGCCTTGCTCTTATAATTGAAACATTGAAAATTACATACCTGACATTTTCCTTTTAGCATCAAGAAATTGGTTACTTTGCCAAAAGGGATGCCCAATGAAATGACTTCTGCTTCAGTAGCATCACTTGGAATTTGACGGATATGAAGGACACGTGAAGGGGAGCATGGTGATCTGTCTCCTTTAAATTTCTTCTTGTCATTCTCATTATCTAAAATATTTTAGGGAGGGTGATGGAGAAGCAAACAAGGCAAACTTATTACACAATGTAAGTACCAAAACCTAAAAAAAGATTAACTGCTGTCTCAGCACTTACATTAAATTACTGATAGCTCTCTGAATCCCAAGAAAGTTTATGTATAACAAAAGGACAGTTTAAGAAGACCCCGTTTATCTGTTCCAAACCTCCACTGCAACTGGAGTGTGTGGTAAGTTTGTTTTAGTTTGATTTAGTTTTGGTTGTTTGTTTTCCTGGGACCTGAGGGTGAGTTTTTGGGTTTGGTTTTTGGTGGGTTTTTTTCAAGTCTTACAGATAGAGAGGCTAGTAACTTCTTCCCAAATGCCTATGTAACATATTCACAAAATGTTAAATACACAGAAGAGGGGAAAGTAGTAATTGGGAGGTAATGTATTCTTTTTGGGTTTGGTTTTTTTTTTTAATTATTACTAACTGATCTTCCTGCATGGTGTGGATTCAGCTATTACCGCAAATAATTTTTTTTTTTTGATTAAAAAAAGCCTGCTGTCTCACATGACTGTAAGTTTTGAAGTCTTTGGAAAAGGTAGACAGCAGTAAGGCATGAAATCCATACAGATTCTAGTCTTCCACGTAAGCAAACTGCTTTTTTTCTTTCTTTTTTTCTCCACCCCTTTTTTTTTTTTTTTTAACATACACCTATTTGGATCCTCTAAGATCATTGCTTACATTGTTTACATTGGTTACATTTCAAGGAGATGACTTGCAGTCCTTGGGAGCACTTTTAAGCAAAACACCACATCTGGAACAGGCATATTGTTCTCCATGCTATCACAATGGAGTAATAACTTAAAAGTAGTAAAAATGAAATTCATTAGCCAAACTACAGATCCCAATAAGATATTGTCCTAAAAAAAGCTAGAGAGGCTTACGAGACTTGATGAAAACAATCCTGATTTAAAGACAGCCTATTTGATGGAAATTGTACTTAAGTCTAACTGCATTACTACCTAAGTTGTTTTGTTTTGTTTTTTTTTTCACTTATGTACCACAAACAGCTTCACTCCATCAAGAGAGATAGCCTTAACACCTCATGTGCTAAATTTCGCCTTTCAAGAAGAATCACAAAAGATTAGGAAAAAATACCTGGTTAGGCTTAGTAAGTAATTTCGTATTTTGCTGTAGGTTTTGAGTACAGTCTAAGGCTGACAAATATTTCACACAAGTCATTCTGTATAAGGACCTTCAGAGAGGGCATTTTTAGTAGTCCCAACCGTAGCACACTCAGAAGTCAAGTTCAGTAATTCCCCCGCCTGCCAACCAGAAAAGTCTGATATGCATTGATTTTTCCAGCAAGAAATTCTAAATGGCACCATGTGCTCTGTGTGCATTCTGAAAAATATAAACATGTGGCACACTTGTTGGGGATGAGACTTTAAAACAAACAAAACCATATTAAACTCATATCAGTACCAAGCCACAACAGGGTATAATATCATTAAAACCCTACAATCCTTCCTGTTTTGTTAAATCTACTTTTCAGGTTCAAAATGGACAAGATACCCTTGACTTTACTAAGTTGAGGATTGCATGACCATAGAAAGCAGGAAATTAAACCTAAGAGGAATTTTGCCTTTGGTTTAAGATGAGAGGCTCTTGCAGAAGCAATACTTTCTGGGTTCTGGCTCACTATCAGAGGCAATGAGATGGAGCTAAGTGGCAAGCACAACATTTTCTCTTTACATCTTCACTGAGAGTTACAGAAGTTTTCAGATCAGTCAATCAGCCAAAAAGGACAACTGACTTCAGAGCTCCTCAGTATTTTCATTAGGTTGGCTAGACTCCAACAAGTTGACTGTTGGAGTCAGATTACAATTCAGGCTTGGTGAGGATGCTCACGGTGACCATAAAGAACACACAGACACACTCTCCCCAGCCGACCCCCACCCCCAAAAAATTTAAGTCATTACAGAGAAAATACACACTGTTAAAGAACTGCGATAAAAATCTTTTCTTTTGTATACCCTCAGCTGGAGTGGAACTGCTCATGGTAGAAGGCCTGTTACTGACACCAGAAGAAAGAAGCTTGTCAGGTCCACACTAAAAAATAAAATACAAGATTACTATAAAAGCTGTTAGAGAAATAGCTTGATATAAAAATGCAAAAACTCCTGTAATTTATTCTTCCCCAAGAACATACCCTTTCTATACCCATTCTCAACCAACGCTGTGAACTTACTTTTCAGGAAAATGTGCCAACCACACAACTTTTCCTTCTCTCTCAAGAAGTTAGCAAGTTCAACTATGTTACACTTTTTACTTCTCTTAATATTTATCATACTACAGTTTACATTTTAAAAGAATAGCAAACACTTATGGAAAGAAATGAGCTGGCTGCAGGCTCTGGGTCTGCAGTACAACATTGCTTCCACATACAAGTAAACACACAGCCACACAGATAAAGTCAGCATTTGAGACTGCACATAGCGGACCTTGAGCAAAACTAATTCGAGACAGATTTAAATATACCTGTGACACTTTTGTTAAAACCTAATTCATGTCTTAAGAACTTGATGGTGGATCATACCTTTTTAAAAAAATACTGAATATCTAAGTGTATGCTTTAGGAATGCTGACAATTTGAGGCTCTAACAGAAAACAGTTTGAGCTCTACAAGTTCTTCATTCAAAAATCAGTGCGTAGCTGCCAGTTCAATCTATTCATTCTTTAAGACTGCTCTATTACGCCAGCCAAGCATCTGAAAGTGCTCCAAAATGCCAAGAAGAAACAAGGTACTACAACACCTCTAAAAGGCAGTTAAGGTTCCTGAAACTTTCACCACACTCTTCCATAAAAACATTTTCATTAAAACATTGAGATTAAGGTCCCCTGTAGGTGGAACCCTAGTCCTTCCACCTAGGACTTTGGTGGAAGGAGAGGTTCCCATCATCCTTACCCCAGTATTCCCACCAGCTCATGATCATGAGCTGTTTATCCTGCACAAGTTCTGGTCCCTAAGAGATTGTCCATGAGATGACTCAGTCCTCCAACCTGCCAGCACTCTATGCTGAGTTACGTTAGTTGGTTTATCAGCTAAAAGAGGGGTTGAAAAGTGCCAGAATCCAGGGTGAAGAAAGGGGTAGAGATATGTGAAGGAGACAGGACTAAGAAAGCATCATTTTAGCAGCAGCAAGCCATATGCTAGCTAGTATTAGCTGTGGAAGTACGCTCATAGAGGACTGGCTTATCAGCTGTCTGCTTTTAAGGGAGCAATTTAGCTTTTTTCACTCATAACCATAACCATGTGTTCAGGCTGTTTCTCCAGAATAAAAGGCTGTGACCAGTTTAGGGTGGTGAAAAACCTTTTCAGCCATATATAGCTGCTCATAAAGGAGTACAAGTGTTAGTGCAGGATGGAGGAAAACATGACAGTGTTCATTCCTCTCTGGCAGCAGCATAGACAGTATTCACGCTTACTACTGTTAATCACGAAACTGCATCTTAACAATATGTTTAAATGCAACATCTAATTGTGGCAAGCACTCTGCAAAACTATTTTTACATTGAAAGAAAAATATAAAAAATATATTTTAAAGAATTTCCAATTCTCATTCTTTCCAGTTGCCACCAATAAAATCCATTTGCAGTAAAAATATAGGCTAATGAGAAGAGCAGCCTATTCAGCTGAGCAACAGAGGACACCATACATCATGTAGGCCAAGAAATGCTTCTTTGGAAGGTCACATTTTAAACTGATCTCTTTAAAGTTTGTCAGTTAAATTGTTACTAGATGTCTGATACAGATCACATTCAGTCTGTGAAAACCAGCTTTGTTTTAGCACGTTTGACTCTGAGAGCAAGTGTCTTTTTTGAGCAACTTGTTGCTATTTCATGTTTTCATAAATGCTGGCCCCAAATACATATTTTGACAGATAAGTTAAGTTCAAGGATTTAACATGTATTCTCACAATTTCGTATTTAACATGCGCTGCTATTAAAACAAACAAGCAAACAAAACCGAAACAAACAAAACCACAACAGACTTCAGGGAAAAAAAATCTAAAAATCCAACCTTTTCTGTTTTTAAAAGTTGTCTTAGTTGATTCAACTCAGGATTCAAATAAGCATCTGAGTGCAGAAACCAGAATCTACTAGTTTGGCAAGCTAGGTAGTTATTGTTTTTGCAGAAGTAAGGAAAATGTGCAAGATTTTTACAAATTAGTGTAAGTTGTCTAGGTATTAGTGTATAAATGAGAAAAATACGTAAATTGTGAATTGTTAAACATACATATGTAATGAAATCTATAATTTACAACAAAAAAAAAATTGTTTTCAACTTAAATTTCACTGTCAACCTCAGCAATTTACAGCATTGATCACTTTGTAGGTTTGGAACATGAAAATGCAGCTGATAAATTTGATACTGATTTCTGAGCAAAATTCTTAGAGGATACCACAGAAAATATTAACTAACTGCGAGGATTTACAATAGAACACCTTGATGCGCAGATAGATCTTAAAAACAAATTGTGAAGACCAGAACTTATTATCACAGGTAATACAGAAAGTCTGTAAATCAACCATAATCTGAAAGATAATTTAGCTTTCTCAGAACAAGTTCTAGCATATTCCAAAAGAAACGTATGTAACTTCCTCAAGAAGTATTGATCCCTTTTAGGCCACCCCACCACTATAGTTTCATTCAGTAATAATACTTCTTGTGGGAATTATAAACAGTTGCTTGGAAAGCATGATTTGATTTTGGACATTTCTTTAAAAACAGGTAAAATTTATAGCGCTGACTAACCAGTCCAGTAGAAGGCCTCTACAAAGTGTAGCACTCAATGATAGGTTAATGAAATGACTAATTCTTCTGTACCTACCATGATCAACTTCCCTGAATAAATAGGGCATATTATACAACTTCAGACTACAGCAACAGATGCCCTTCCTGAAACTACTTAAGCTCTTCTATGATTTTAAAATTTCTGATAGTAATATATGTTAATGATTCTGCAATTCAAGTATAAAAACACTGCACTCACAGTAAAGAGGTGTAACAAATATCTGAAAGTCAACAACTCTAGGTTTCTAAAGTCTTTCCAAGTCATGTATAGTTTGGTACTCTAAAATACTTCCTCAGAACATGTCCATTTGTTGGAACTATGGCAGGTATCTATTCAGCATTACTTCTGGAATCAGCAAATCCTATAAACTGCCTTTTCATTTTTAAAAAGGCGATATGTAATTAAGACCATCTTTTTCCCCCAACTTTTAACTGCAGTTAAAAGTGTTTTCCTGCAGTGTTTTCCTCCTCTCTTCCTTGATAGTTACAAATCCTTCAGTACAGTTTAATTAATTACAAATGGGATAGTCTCAGAGAAACTTATATTTCATCTGAAATATATTGTTTTCCTAGAATATAGCTAATTGCCTTTCTAGACTATTACTTCTAAGTCAATAACCAAGAAAAATATGATAATGGGGATTTTTACTATAACACAGCTAGAACAACAAAAAAGGGTGCCCAATTTTATGGGAAAATAATTCTTTCAAAAACACCTTTTTTTCCTGCATATAAATCAAAGTTTTGTATATTTTTCTACAAGATTCTACATGGCAACAAACTAATTACTGTTCCAAAAAGGGCACACTCTGAAACATCATAATTTCAAGCTATACCAGTGAAAAATTATTGTTAAACATAAATTAACTGTTCTAATGCATACCTTATTAATTTTTATAGTAGATTATTGTAAAAAAAAAATAATCTAAGGGTTATGAGAAGAGTGAAAAATTCCATCACCTTCTACTTCTGCAGTAAGCTCTCCAAATACTTGTTATATTCCTTTATTTTTTCTTCCACAAACCATGTTTGCAGAGATGCAACTCCTACTTCTAAAATGAGGATTTAATTCATAGTGCAATGTCACTTATGCCAAAATAAAAAGACTTCAAAGAAAGTGCAGGTAAATAATTATAAATAAGGGTAACCGCAAAGTTATATATTTGCATTAAAAATAAAGTGATCTGACAAAGAAAAAGTGCCATTTCAGTATGCTGAAACATAAGGAAATTCTAGGCAATTATCACAATCAAGCAAGCTTCCTTTCTTCTGCTGCAAAGATCCCTTGCAAACACATTGGCTGAACAGGCTGATTGTCAGCCACCCCAGAGAACATTATTCTCTCACACATAGCTACTTTTCTGCAAGCTTGAATGCTTATTGGGTCTGTTGCCAATCCTGCCTGCTTTATTCATTCTGTTATCATCTACTGAAGCTCCCTGCTACACGGGTAACAAGATACTGTACACTTTCAGTCATGCAACAGTAATTACAAAATGAAAAGGAAAAGAATTCATCAAATTTCACGCTTGTTGATTTTATTAATGAAAAGATGGCGTTCTTTCTAGAACAACAAATAGTTAGAAAAGCTGCAGTGGTATATATTGTCACACAAACTAAATCATCTTTCCTAACTGTGATACAACAACTTCTTAAGTATGAAGTTTCTATGACACAAAAATAACTTGAATAGACAATTCCTAAGGCAGATGCCATACTGAAGTAGGAAATACAATACAGGCTCCAGAACAGCCTAAAATATGTTACATTAAGTATTCAGAAAGAATTTAAAAAACAACAATTTCAAGAACTGCATAAAAAGTAATTCTAGTAACTGTCCAGTCATCCCATCTTAACTTTCGGATTGTAGATAACGGAATAGTAGAAATTGTGGAATCACTTCACCATTTTCCTATAAAACAGCTGGAAAAAATGGTCAATAACAAAACTGATTACACACATTTGTGCTATTGTCCTTACAGCTATTCCTCTTTTTAGCAATATAGACTTTTTTAAGATTGATGCAGCAGTTTAAAACAAACAAACCAACCCAGTATTTTTTAAAACCACATAAACGCTAACTGCATTAGAGACACATCTTAAAAATGTGAGGAGGCAAAGAAGAATCCAACTATTCTTGCATATTTTCAGGTTATCCATAAAGGCAAGCATCCACAACAGCAACTTCCACATCCATAGCATCCTGGCAAAGCAGGTCACCATCTCCCCGTTTCTTAATATTTGCCTTGCCACAGTTTAACAGATGTTTTAGAAATACAAGGTATAACCACTACATAAAAGTTCTGAAGTATAATTCTAGTGCAAAGCCAACTCCGTGTCTCTGGATGCAACATATAAGGCATAAAACTTCAGCAGACTTTGACCAAAAATCAATTAAGCAGCATCAAACCTAAAACAAGTGCTCTAATTTTATACATAAGGACTAGGAAAGAAATGTAGCTCTCACAGTAAAAGCCCTGAAGTCATATTTTAAGCACTTTGAACATTTTGCATGCAGTCAGTTCTATTATTGCCACTTAATACTCAGGATTACCCCTCACTATAGTAGCAGAAACCAGAAATCCAAGTACTTGCTATTCAAAGGATTCAGGTTATATTTAACTGAATGTTTTTTCTACTATTAACAGTACTCACCAACTACAATAACAGAAAAAGTGAAAACATAAATTCCAGACAGACCTCAGCCCCTTGCCCTAAATATGACCTAGGCATTCTCCCTCTCTACTTTCCACACATTCTAAGAATTTTATTCTTCCATTCTCCCTAAAATAAAAAGGCAACTAAATGTAAGTCAGGTATAAATACCATGAGTTTTCATTACGCAGCAGGGTCAAGAAGAATGCAAGAGTCTTTTTGTCTGTATAACAAAGAAACATTTAAAATTTAAAGTATTTGGTCACTTTACCAGCATTCCGAATCCTATATAACTGAAAATACCAGAAAGTTTATATTAGGTCAGTCCAAAAAAAAAAAAAAATCTAATACCTCTAACCAGTGATGCCAAGGAAAGACTTTAAGAAGAAAACAAGCATACAAGACTATTTTCTCAAAATATTCTCCCAGAACCACACAAACATACATGCACATAAACACAAGTTAACTGAAGTAGAAAAGGCCACATGATACATATCCAAAAGCAAGATCAAACATCAGAGATACGAAAATGCTAAACACTTCAGTAAACGTGTTAATGTAGTGTATCCTTCACAGTGATGATTTGTAACACACAATGAAAATCAACACCTAAGTAAAGGAAGAAGTAGAAATAACATTTGTCCTTAAAATACTTTTATGCTGTACACAGATGAATTGTTTTAATCAAACTTCCCTTTAGGGGGACACTAATACCAGTAATCAAGTAATATATGCCTACAGCAAAGTTCACTGCAGAATTCACTGACTTCTAGACTGCCTTCCCAAATTTTATGGCAGTTAGTCTGCAGAATAAGGTTATATTAATGTACAAACTAAGCTCTCAGTAACAAACCTTTATGCTTCTGGGACATATGTTCCTTACGTGTTCCTTATTGGTTCTGACCTTGTGAAACATATTGCAGGACTAGAGGATAAAGGGATAAACAAAAGGTCAGAAAATGTTTACAGACAAGGTTTTGTCTACTTACACAACAGAATCATACAATAGGTTGGGTTGGAAGGGAACTTAACGATATCCAGTTCCAAGCCCCATGCCACAAGGCAGGGGCACCTTCCGCTAGAACAGGTTGCTCCAAGCCCCATCCAACCTGGCCTTGAGCACTGCCAGGGATGGGGCAGTCACAGCTTCTCTGGGCAACCTGTTCCAGTGTCTCACCACCCTCACAGTGAAGAGTTTCTTCCTTGTATCTAATCTAAATCTCCCCTCTGTCTGTTTAAAGCCATTCCCCTTTGTCCTATCAGTACATGCCCTTGTAAAAAGTTTTGGTTATATCCTCCGAGTCAGGGGCTGAGGGTTTGCCATTTAAAAATGGTCCTTCCACAGTATTACGTCATTATTTTCATAAGCGCAATGACAGACCCAAAGGGCAGTGGCAACCATCCAAGCACCAGTACACAGGCATAAGCTGAGCCACTTATAGAATCATAGAATAGTCAGGCTTGGAAAG